TTAAATTGTTTGGATTTGATTCAGCTCACCCGGAACTGTTTGAAACGTGGAATACTTATGGAATAAAGATACAATTTGTTATGCGCGGAGTTCGAGTATTCGGACAAATCTTCCCAACAGGCTATATTACAAATGTTTTAATAACCGTGATTAAAAACAACATCGAAAACAAATTCTTTCTTGTATGTGAAGTTCTGTGAAATGTTACCTCAACACATGACTCAAAGAAAGGTCCTTCGATTTGAGAATCTCTGCTAATCCACGGAGATTCCACAATAATTTTCTTTCAATAGGCTGCGTTTCATTTTTAATTTAGCAAATGTTTTTTAGTTTGTTCGACGGCGAGTTTCGTCACGATCAGGTTGTAACAGTAGGCTGCAGCTTTTTTAAAATTACCTTCCTCCAAGCTCAAAGACCCATCATTTTCTGAGTCATTTTCTACCAATCACTAACTTTGCTTTTCATAAAAAATTGCAGCTCTCTGTAAGTATACAGGAAAAAAGTCAAAACGAATAGCCAGCGTAGTTGGCGGGATTAGAGCTACGTAAGCTATAAAAAGACACTCTCCCTTGCCTTTTCTTTACTGATGGTACAGAATACCAAACCCATGAATTCTTTAGCTTGTACTTTTTTTGAGTTCTTCTGTTGGACGTGGTTTTGTATTTATATTATATGGGCATGCAATTTTTTAAACAGCGATGTCACCTTTGTTCAGGTTGTTAAGCAGTTCGTCACTGAAACTTGTAAATTTGTATTGCGATTTTAAGTCTGAATATAAGTCTAGCTAGTCAAACATTACCAAGTCAACCAAGTCGAATGTCCTGACTGTTATAATGTAAAAAGGCTCTTATCTAAATCTATTGTGACCAGCCATAGTATTCCATCATTTGTTTTCAGGGTGGGGAATTCATGAACAAAAGAAACTTACTATTCTCGAGTAACTGCTTGAAGAAATGTCTTTATTTGTCCCCCAAAAAAGTGACAATGCTCCTGAAATTTTTAGTGTTTATGTCTAAAAAAAACCTCTAAGTAGTACAACAATTTTTTCATTTTATGCACGATCTGTGGAAACTATCACTCTAATCACCTGATAATGCAACAATTTGGAGACAGTAAATTTATACTGGGTAAATAAGGTGAAAGAGTCTCTTTCAGGCAAAATAAAACTAAAAGGTTCACTCTTGGCAAAACGTTAATATCTTATGATCCTAGGGTAGGTAGGCAATGTGGGAAGCGAAGTCGATAGGGTTAGGCCCTCGTATTGATACTGTGGCGGTTCCATGGGTGCGGCTACTGAAAATGGTGGGTTTGACTTGTGAATGTAGCACTGCAAGCAGGGTCGCTGTACAGCGATGTGATCCTGAACAAGGCTGTTCCAACCATCCAAAGGTAGATTGTTGCTGTGCACCGATTTACGCCTTGAAAAATCCCCGCGGCTAAATGCTGCCACAAATCTGGGATTAATGTGCCAGTAACAGCTAGCTCTATCAACTGCTATCCCTCCGCGTTGAAAGCATTCATGAAGAGACAAATTGTGACGAACAGTGTTCTTCCAGCGTTCTCTGTGCTCGGTGAAGCTGGGATAGCTGTTCTGGATGAAATTATAGATCCCAGACAACGTGGCACGCTTTTGGGGTGAGCTGAGGATGGCATAAGCAATCATCTCTATGTAAGAGAATGGACACGAATTTCGCCTTTTTCTCTGCTTCTTTTTCTGGTTTTGATTCTTATTCTGTCCTTTCCCCTCTTCTTGTGATACGGAAACGTTTTTGCTGTAGTCTTCCCTTTTCCTTGTCTGTTCTGCCCTGTTCATGCTTTCTCTAAGACTTGATCGAGCTGGGAAATGTACTAAAAGGAAGCTGAAACGTCCCACAGAATCGCTTGTACTGAATAATGTTCTTTATATGCAGTATTTTTAATGAATAATACATTTAACCCATTGACCAATAAGGTATCTTGTTTTATACTGTTTCTTTCCGTTAAACATAACAACAGGCCATGTGTACAGGAGCCGGACCTGTGTATGTGTAAAGTGCCGCTAAATAAATGATGGCTTCAAGGCTTTAAGCCAGCAAGTACACATCTTAACCTTTGTTAAAAGTTCTGCTTTTCTTTTAACTACTGCTTCAGTTGTTGAGGACTAAGCTTTACGTTCTTTCTTAGAAGATGGTGTACATTCAGATAAGAGACCATTAAATTTCGATGCAACCGACAAATCAGCTGTTAAACAATCTTAGCTTATCTTGAAAATCTTGTTCTACCCTCGCCTCGACAGGTGACCGGCGAACACGCCGCTTTCACCAGGTGTCCGAACAAGCCTTCACCATGGCGAGCCGCAAGCCTTAGCGACCGAAATATGCTTGGGGACAATTTGTCCCCCATCTGACCAGAAGGCCATTGTTTAAATTCAGCCACCACTCATTCCCAGTTAAATGTAGCCGGGCCAATAGCATTTTTTATTGTCTCTGGAAGATACTTTGTTCTGTTATGCCATCAGGGCATTGCTTTATTGCTCCAAATGGACAGATGGGATGGTTCTACTTAAACAACAAGACATTTACCCAAAACTGAAAAGCTAATATTTTTCCCTACAAGAGTATGTCCTAAAATCGCCCAATTCAGCATGTCACATGCTAAATTGGGCGATTTTTAGTACATACTCGGCGGCTAAGGTGTATAAAATCTCTTAGGGTTTCAGCAATAATAACTGGGAGATACTTAATTGACGTGGAGAAAACTTTTGTGTAGGGTAAATGATCTCTCAAATAAGCCAACCAACTTTAAAGTAGCCAAAGGATAACTAATTTTATAAGCTCGAGAACATTGTCCACAATTTTGTAACAACCTCCGTTACCAAAAATTATGGGCATCGGATAAATGCAAGAAAACTGGATTTCGTACAATGGGTTTAGTAGGATTTATCGTTTGTTCTTCCAGAATTGACCAAGAAAATGTTTCTTTCTTTTATTTTGTCGAAAAGTTTTCCGGAAATTTTACAAAAAGCAGTCCTTTCCCAGCAGTTATGGATAAGGGAATAACCTCCGTTACGTCAATATTGGCATAACAGGTAAACCCACGGATCTTGTCCATTTGTGTGGTATATTGCTAATATCCCTTAATCTTAAGTAAAAGCAACTCTGACATTTTTAGTTTGCGTGAGAAGTTTGCTTTAAAAGTCCGAAAAAAAATAAACTCCGTTACCAACTTTCAATATCTCTGTTAAATTATAACCAGCTGTTGGCATAATAAAGTAAACTTTAGGGACGGACCATTAGAAAAGTTACGGGAGCGGGGTGGGGAATTTTCGAGCCGCAGGAATTTTTTTTCGTTATCAAATTCCTTGTATGAATATTTTTTAGGCGTTAGCATGAATTTTTTTTAGGGTTAATTGGCGCGCATGATTTTTTTTTTCATTTCATAAATTTTGCCTTACGCGAATATTTTTTTTGGTCCGTCCCTTATAGCCCATGTCATTGAAAGATAATGCAAATCAAAATGACAGATCTATTCTTCTCGGGTTTCACTGTGACTACGTGCACGCTGAAATTTGGTTTCCTAAATATTCACCGGTTTTTGTCTAATTTACGGAACCGTATCCTCAATATGGGAAAAAAACTTCATGGTAAGTATGTCAAATATATATATAGGGTAGTAATATTGGCATGTTTTTCTAAAGAGAGAATGAGACAATACGGTCACAAGATGGTAACGCATTTAGTAACGGAAGTTACTTTTACAGTTACCTTGCCTCCGTGACAATTTAAAAGGCTAAGAGATTTTGCACAAAAATCCTGGTGAAAAACGACATTGTACTTCACTTCCTAACGGTAAAATTATCCTAAAGAGGCATGCCTATGTTCTAACTTCTGCCTTAAACGAACTGAAAGATTTTGGTAGTTGTAGTTAAATGATGTCATCGTGCAATTGTCCTATCGCGGGATCAAAGAACCTTCATGGAAACTCGCCAATATGGCATGTAATGGAGTAGTAATCATCCACCTCATCCTTTGAGGTCTGTGGGCATTGGCGCAGATTTAATTTCAGTAGTGGGTTCTTATATTAGATGACTGTTTCTTGAATTCCGTGACGTTTTCTACAAACGAATAACTTTTGCTTACAAAGGAACACGCCAATAAGACCGGGCATCATCCGCTTTGGGACAAGGTTGACCGAGACCCTCACTGGTACTCACGTAGGATTAAAGAGGCTATTCACATGAGACTTCACCCGAACAACATCAACAGGGACATTTGAATTGAGATTCCAGAACCGCGGATACCTACATCAGATAGCATAGCAGCCGATAGGTACCATAGCGGACCGCTGAGGAGAGAGTTTCTTCGTCTAACAATGGCAACCTACCCTGGGTGCCAGAGGCTTTTCATGCACGGTTTCCGGTTTCGGTCAAGTGTCTTCGGCCTTCGGCCGAACACCTGTCGCGGCCCTGCGGCCGACAAAACGAAGCTCCCCGACGCAAGCGAGAAAAAACCTCTGGTACCCAGGGTAGTGGCAACCATGCTTCGGATCGAAACCTACCAACCACGTTACCAATCCCCTAGCAACCACGTTGTTACTAATAGTCCCACTCAGTAAATTGACACCATCGCCTGATATATGAATAGCAAGCAGCACGCGGTCAAAACATCATGAACACAAACTTAATTGAAATTATAAATGCTTTTCGTCTTAGGCCAACGAAGCTTGATTAGAAATAAAACGAAAACTGCGGTGACAAACATGAAGCTAAACATGAACAAGCGCATAGCTAAAATAGAATTTCATTCACTGACTTAACGTTTCGTATGTCTCAACATACATGTTCAGAGGTAACCGTAAGCTTAAAATTTTGAAATATATCATAACAGTTTAATATATATCATATGGAAAATGACAACTGAATACACGTATTTGCTTTTTTCTCCCTTTGTTTTTCTCTTTGTTTGTTTACTCTTTTTTGTTTGTTATTATCTTTATATATATATCTTTTTTCCAGGAAAAAAGTACGCTTTATTTACAAAACGTTATAAACATTTTCAGATAACAGGACAGCTGTGGAGATAGATGTTTTCTTTCTTTACAGATATATGTATGAAGTCTGGAATACCACAAAGGGTGTGTGTTATATAGCAGATGCTGAAGAAACATGACAAGTAGCTAAACGCACTGCGTCGCTATATGTCACCAAAAATAAATAAATTAAAATGTGCGTCGTTTAAGGAGCAAATCATTTCACGACCTACTCTGAGTAATAAATACATGACGTCTTTTGGCTGTGGTTTATAGGATTTCCTCTGTTAGTCAAACCACAATTAAATCGCAGCGTCGAGAGTTTAAAACCTAAAACGCGGACGTCTCAGTACTTATTTCATGCTCTTTACATCTGTGGTATTGTTAGGTTTGCTTTCCAGAATTTTGGCATGAGACAAGTCACGTGATCCCGAGCTGCTACTGTGCTGTTCGTCCTATTACTGGTCAGCGTTTTTTCTTATGCAGACCTCTATTACTATCACGGGTCTTTTCCCTTGCTAGTCAAGAGAACTCTCCAGCTTGCTACTCTCTTGTTATTGAGCTGAGTCCCCTCGTGAGAAGCACGTGGCTTAGTCTGTGACGAGTCACCGCGAGCACGTGCGCCACGAGATGTACGGATGCCCAACGCGTGCGCCGCCTTCATTTTGGCTTCCATTTCCAGGATGTATTTAGGGAAAAGGCTCTTCTCGTCGTAGCGCATTTGAAGATCTATGGAAAACAAAGCGTCCAATGTTTACACACAGAACATTTAGTTAAATAATTCACTAAAAATAAATAAATCAAGAGTCAATGTTTTGGCATATTTTAAAATTATCATCAACCATGTATCCACCCTTCGAACACAGTCTCCTTTCGTCTTTTTCTTGATCGAGGAGGAGAAAAGAAATTCTGCCTAAATCGCTTCAAGCCTTTAAAGTCTTCGCAGTCCGAACTTCTGGACTAGTCAATCGTGTTTTTTTTTCTCGTCAAACCGGTTTTTCGGGTGCGAGCATCCGTCCATTGATAAAACCGTTAGTTCCAACTGAGCCCGCTAAACAAAGCACACGGCTATTAGGCCTGGGTTTGAAACTGTATCCTAGCAACAGGCCGCGCATGCTCGAGTGGATGCTCGATTACTGCAGAGTCTTTTTTAAGTACGCCAGAATCGAGAAGGCGAAAGAGAGATTCTGCTTGCAGGGTGCAATGTATCTGGTAATTAAAAATGCTGCAAATGAGACTTACTCTCTGTAACATTGGGTAAAGATGGCAGCACTCCTTTACTCCTTCTCTTGCCGGCTGAACTCTCCGAGAAGTACCGCTCAGGATGGGCTATAAAATCCGGCTTTTGAATGCCGCCAACTTCCTGCAGGTCTGTGGTATCCAGAGACTAAACAACAAACAAAGACACGTCGCAAAAAGATACTTCCTTTTTTTATTGTTTCGGCTGCTTCCGTCTTTAAATAGTGCTGAGTTGAAAAGAGTATTGTTTTCTTTGTGGATAGGGTTAGCTCCAGGCTTCTGCTAACGATATTGCCAGCACTGGGGGTATTTTCCAGGTGAACAGGGGGAAGAAGATGCGTAAAAAACGAGGGCACCGAACTATGAATCAGTGCGAAAAGGACATTCAGAAAGGCCTAGGAAGGGCGAGACGTTTTTTCACCCAAAAGATCTAACCACTGATCACAGGTTTGACTCTTCCTAAAACGTCTTCTACAAAATCAAACAAGGAGAGTAAACAAAGAAAACAGTGAAGCGTGCTCGCCTGATAAAAGATACATGTGCTGCAGCCTAACCTGGGTGGACGAACAGCTGCTTCATCCTAAATGCGTTTCTTATTTTTTAGTACTAGTAGCAGCGTGACAGTCGTCGCCCAAATCGAAAGCAAAGGTTCTTTCTCTTCTCGGTAAGTCTACCAGGTATTAAAAAAAGCTGTTTTTGTAAGTACAAGCTTCTGTGCTAACAAAGGGGTCCACATACCGCATAAGGGCCTGCCGGTGCCTGGCCGGTCTTCTCCCAGTTAAGATAAGGCAGATCAGGGATGACCTGAGGCTGTCTTCTCTCTCTCTTTTCGATTCTCTTTTCTTGATAAGCTTTACCTAAAACGTGACATTCATCAATTTAGCCAATTTTCAAAAACAAGAAGCTCTCGAATTGTTAAAAGTAAAACAAAATGACTAAACCGGAAGGAAGCTAACCTAATAAGGTAACCGGCAGCTAACCGGAAGAAAGCTAACCTAATATGGTAACCGGAAGCTAACCGGAAGGAAGCTAACCTAATATGGTCTGTTCCCATGTGCGCACTCTAAATGAAGGATCAAATTTATCATCGGCGAAAAGATTCAGCTCTTCTGTCCCAGTATCCTCTTCAGGTTGCTCATCATCGTCACTGTTATCAGACTGTTCCTACGATTAACAGTGAGTAGGTAAATCAGTGGTAAGTATAGTATCCTATTTACATCGCTATTAACTGCGCTTCTCCACTGAGGTATGAAAGTCTAGCGGCCACCTTCAGATGGTAAAATGCAGAACCATTTATAGTACATAAAGTAGGGCGGGAATGGGGGGAGGGGTGGGGGAGGAAATCCAAAAGATGACCAGCGGGAAAGTGGAGCGCAGATAAGCTAACGATGATAAGTGCAGTAGACGCCAAACAAGGAGTACGCGACACTTCTATCGAAATGCTAAAGAGTGTATTCGGGCGATACCTCTTCACTTGGGTAAGACCGTGGTTAATAGCAAGTACCTTATCAATCGGTGTTCTGGCGTGATAGCAAGCAGAGTTCTTAACGTAATAGCTCATTTATGCTCCTCTGTCGTGTAATCTGACTAATTTCATAATAAGATATATCTCAAGCACTCAAGCATCGGCATTACGTTGAAGCAGTGGCCTCGGGGCCATCGTAAGAGGCGAAGTGCAACAGTAGACTTGTACGCTTCAGATTACTTAACAAGTACTGGGTTACTTGGTTCGGTTAAAATCGAGTCGTAAAAGGATAATTTTTTACTATTTCCCTACACAGGAAAGCGGCCTAAAAACAGGTTTGACCACATTTCAACAAACCTGCTCTGCCTGCTTGGCTTGCTCAGCTTCTCTTTCTTCTTTTGAGATGGGTTCAATTTTCCAGTGTTCCTCCTTAGGGGAAAATAAATTGGTTAGAGCCGCGCGAGATACATGTACGTAAACTGAACTAACGCCTCGGAAGATATGGTTGAAATTAATTTAGGCCACGTGATCACATATCAGCCAATGGCTGTCTGGGGGTTACATCAAAGAAGCCGCAGCAGTATGACAAAGGGCTTCGTATTCCTGCAGGCTCTGTGATTGTTTAGACTTGAGGCATTGCTAAGAATGAATAAAGCTTAAATTACCTGTCCAAATATACCAATATGGCGGCCTTCGATATCCCACAATGCCACTGCACAGTCGCTAGAAGCCGTAAGAACCAGCAGTCTCTCTGAGCGACTGAACAGTTGAATGCTGTTAATAGTGTCTGTATGTGGCTGGAACTGTTTGAAGAGAGCTACAAGGCGAAAACAATCACAGATTTAGATTTGCGGCATAGGCCTTTTCTGGTTTCGTTCTTGGAAGTCGAAGTGGGCTCTCTTGTTGGGCAGCGAGCGAGTTTCTGTAGCAAAGCCGTACTATTTCATTTTTATTGAACTCAGTGATTTGGTAGCTACTGAAACTACTATCCCTCTTAGAATCGGTGCAAAATAGTGCTAAATACATCTCTCGACGCTTCGCGTCTCTCGGTCCATACCCTCCACTATTCACAATCCCATTAGGGGGAGAGTTGTATAGTATTCTAAAATTAATAATAAAATAAAAGTCATGACACGTTTTGCACTTTGCAACACTTTCAAAGTGAAGGAATGGCCTTTTTTCACCATAATTTACTGCAAACTTACGCGGCGGAGTATCGTTATTATCCATGTTTCCAATACAGTATTCAGCAATGTCCCATACTTTTATCACCCCATCAGCATCGCCAGTTACCAGGTAAGAGTTTGTATCATCAACAGTCATTGTTAGAAAACCAGCTGAACGCATGGAAAAAAATATATGTAATAAGCGTCAGCATTCCAATGGTACGAGAGAGGGAGCTGTATAATACAATGGTAAATACAATGTGTGAAGAGGAAGTGAACTTACAATATTTGCTGGAATAAGCGCTGCCCCGAATAAGAGATTTAATGCAACACTTGCTGATTTTATTGTTTCTAAGCATTTGTTTAATGCTTTAATAAGTACCGTTGCGTTTATTTGAGTAAATACCCGAACGATAGTTACAGGAATTTCTTATGTATATTGTAATTAGAAACAAATAACTCAAATACAACGTAACAGGACTTTTAAAAAAAACCAAATGGCTGTAGACAACCAGTTGGCGATTTAGAGTAATGGCCGAGAATTTCAACCCTGCCAAACCAAGAACAAAAAAAAAATCCGTCGGCAATGGAGCTGGAGTTGAGCCCAGACCTCCTGATGGCGAGTCCAACTCGGTCACGACTCCTGTTAGCTGAAGCTTCACTCGTCCCTAGTCGTCTCTCATTATTAGTATGTTGCGTGGAAGACTAGAACAGGCTCTTTAACGAAGGGGATGACGGGAAGGAAGAAGGGACAAGGGAGTTTCCCCTCCTCTCGCTGTCCCATCATTTCCCGCGCGCATGACCCAAGGGACAACTTGAAGACGACTGGGGACGAGGCAGAGCTGAGCCTGTGTTTGTAAAGCAGCACAAAGCAGCAAAAAGGCAATAATAATAAAAAACAGTGTTAAATTTATTGTGAAGAAAATTCTAATGATCACGTACCGTGTTCATGCGCCAGGAACTGACCAACGCACAGAGTTTTATGTGTATTCCAAAACCGAACCTAAGTGAGCATAAAACGGTTGAATTTACGTTCAGTTATACATCTCTTGATAAAATTTATATTCACTGTTTACCCAGTAAGATTTCCGACAGGGAACATAATGGTCATATTGTACACGTTTCCACATAAACTCAATCCAATCGTAATTAGCAACCACTATCAAATTTCACCCAAAACTCTATGCAAATGTTTAATTTTGACGCTAAAGCCTTGGAGTCATTTTAGAATTTTAATATATCGTGACGTGGGTATTGTGGAATTGCACACATTTTAGGCATCCTACTGATGAATAGTTAAGATATACGGGTAATACCAGCAAAAACAATTTTGGTAGTCTCTTTCAAATCTCGGTAAATGACAATTATTTTAGAAGTCCAGATATGTGCGTCAATCTGGAAGGGAAAAACACTTCTAGTTCTTACCCAGCCACTGGCGTTACAAGAAACAAGATTTGCTCCTGCGCTGGACGCTGACATTGGTCTCTCGTTGAGAAATATTAACTTGGTAACAGCATATCCAAAATCATCCTGAAAGAAACATAATAAAACAGTTGGAGACGCGAGGAAAAGTAGTGAAGCAAAACATTAACAACAGCAAAAACAACATAAAAAACAACAAATAAACAACAACAAAAAAAACAGGGTTGGAGAGTGGATTGAGTGGCTAAACACTCTAGTGGAGACACACCACTAGAGAGCACATGAAACAAAGAGGCAGGCGTAATGAGTAGGCTAATTCAGCTTTTTGGCTTTTGACTAATTGACGTATTCATTGACTGATTGGACAATTCATCGATTGACACAGTCCATCGAACGCAACCGGGACCATCGACAATTTTGGAACAACCATCTTCACTGCGAACGAAAGCCGTTATTGGCCAATTAAATTTCAAGAGGCCCTGGTTGAGTTCGTTGCACTGTAAACCATTTGAACGAAGGTGGACTGATTCAGCGACTGACATGAAGTATCACCTCACTACGCGGTTCCTCAGTGGCTGTCACAGAAGTGGCTGAGGTCGATCGGTCCCCCGTCTGTGGCGGCTTCAACAACGTCTCCGTTTCCACAGGTCTCTGCGTGGGGGTAGAAGTGTCCTGCTGCGAAAATATAAAGAAAAAAAAACATAAATAAAAAGTAGTAGAATGAGTAGATGGATGAAAAAATGGGTGAATGAATGAACGAACCAACGAACCACGCACTCTATTGAAATAGTGTTATTAAAACATTCAATCAACGAAGGAACGAACGAAAAGACGAATAAATGTTAGTAGCCAGGACAACGTGAAATGGCATTTAAAACTTTATATTATGTAATGAAATTACAGCTAAAGAAAAATTAGGATAACTGTTAAAAAATAATAATGCATTTCTTATCTTTTTTTTAATTAGGGGAATGAAATTTGTTTGAGCCAGACCTAAGATAACAGTAATAATTATACTAACAGCAGTTAAGTCTCGCTAGGCTAGTCAACTTACTGCTCTCCTAGATCTTCGGGAAGAGCGTGTAGGTTTTCTTTTAGCGTGTGTTGAAAGATGTCTGAAAGCTTGTTCAGAGTTTAAATTCCAGAGCACGATGTCTCCGTCGTAGCTGGCCGTGGCTAAGGTTGTTGGAGGGCAGAAAGCTTCGGACAAAACATCATCCTGATGTTCCTAAAGACGGGGTAGATAACATCATAAGAAGTTAGAGCCACCTCAGAAACACAGGGTAAAAATAAGCATCAGTCAGAAAGAAAACAGCTTTCACAAAAGGTCATAGTTTGGGGGCATGTAGCAGATCTGCTAACCCTAAAAGCCAATTGCTTCGCTTCCCTAACCGTAAAAGAATAGAAATAATGATAAACAATGTTGCGTTATTGTTTTGTGCAGTATTGCATAGTTTGGGTCTCGTCATAAGGACAAAAAACATCTTGACAAGAATAACTAAGTATTCATGCCTGTCACTAAAGTACCCACAGGCAATGAATAAAGATTTATGGTCCAAAGACTTAATCCAGTACAATTCCAGCAAAAAGTTTGAAAACGTTGTCGTAATAGCTGCTTAAGCACAACGTAGCAATGCCGGCAGCAAGACAGCAACGTGGAAAATTAAAAGCAACACGTCCGAGAATAACCTGAGGACGAAATACGTTTCCGTTTGGCATTATTGTGGGCGATCAAGAACGGCGCAAAAACGTTTAGATTGATTGCGACTTTGTTAACACGAAAACCAAGTTTTCGAACAAGCATCGCTGTAGGCATTGCCTCCATTTAAAGAACATTACTGAAAAGAGAATACACTGATCATTACCAGTCTCCCTTTCCACTCTGATGGATAAACGTAGAATGAATTGAGTTGAGTGTCCCGGAACACGGAAATAGTCCTAGAAACAGACAAAGTAACACGTAAGCCAAACAAGTAACTGCAGTCCTTATATTTTGCAAAGTAATAAAATCAATTCTCCACTTTAGAAACGAGAAGAGAACTGGGGAGAGTTAACTCTCGCGAAGAATTCTGGGAGTGTTACTAGGGTCAGGTAGAAACATTGGCCAATAGCTGAACGGCGCGTCCCCAGTAACTATCCCAGAAACAATTGCGGCACGCATTTCGGCTCCAGTTTCCTTCTCGTTTCTAAAGTGGCAAATGGCTGAGTGCACTTGAGGGAACAAAAAAGCCCGGGGGAATACTAAGGCCCATGTTGAAGCATGACTGGCCGCGGGGAAGTGGGCGCACAAAATTTCACACTGTCTAAACAATCAAAAAAGTGGCGCGGGGGTGTTTTTGGTTTTTGTTGCTGTAACTACAGCGAACGCCGCAAATGAACGGACATCGAGAAAAGAAAGGGTCTCCCTAGAATCCTAGGCAACCATTCATTGTGTCGTCACGCAAAGCTCCTATGCAAGAGTTGCGTGATGACACAAAGAACGGCTGCAAGGAGACTGGGCCTTTCTGTGAAGAAAATATTACGAGCAAAATTTTTCCGAGTCCTGAACGACGCGGGGAAAGGAGAAATAATTAAAAGTAGAAAGCCACGGTAACATTAATCACAGTAGGAGAGAAAGTATAATGAGTGACATTTCGACATACCTGTCCCAGCCCACAACAATAATGATCCTTTTTAAACACAACACTTGACTAATCTCGGCTGGGTCACCATTACCAGCCATTAATATATGATGACAATGACCATTAAAATCCCAGATCTGAAATAAAACCAAATCAGATAAAAGTACCGAAACAACCTGTATGCAGTTATTATTATAAGAGTATAATATTTTCAGCAGTTTGTTCAAGATACGATACACGATGACACAACTTGAAAAAGTTGGCCTGACTTTTTCAAGTTGCAATCTAGCTTTACCCTTGTGATACGTTCATGGTGAAAGATAGCTTAAGGTAAATACCGTTTCAACAGTCTTACAGAGTTTGAGGCGTAAACTGGTCGCACTAAAAGCCTGCAAACAATCTCTCTATTTAAGGGATATCGTGAGAAGTCAAGCGCGAAAGCCACTCGCTCTCGCGTTCTCGCGCGGCTCAATTTACTCGCCACTCATAAAGAAGAGCTTGCTCACTCATAATCGTACTACGAGCGTGGACAACGAGATTTCATAACACACCGTAAACCTACTTACGTTCGATGCTAAACTCTTCAATAACGAACAAAAAACGACACGTTCTTATGTGGCGATATCAAAACACACCAACAGGAAGAAACTCAATGAAACTAATGGATGATGGCAAGAAAGAAGCGTGCAAGATTTGCCAGTGAAAAGCACAGTACCTTCACAGTGCCATCAGCACTTGCGGTAAAGAGCCTGGTTTCCGTGGCATCCTGGGCTAATGTTGTTATTTCAGAACTTCCATGTGCATTAGCAAACTAAAAAACAAAAACAAGCTTGAATTTGTCCGCTGGAATTGGCCACTTTAAGGCCGCGCATTATATCGCCGCCTTTTCCCCCAAACAAAACACGTTCGACATTACGGATCCTTGTAGCTTATAGAATGTTTTCACTCACGTGGCCAGCATATATGCAAATTTATTGCAGCAAAAGAAAGCGTTTGCATAAGAAAAGAATTGAACTCCCAGGGGACTGGTTTGGGACACCAACATGGCAACCGTTTCATTGTTTTGGAACACCAATATGGCCGCCGTGACGTCATGTGAAAACACTCTATACTTGAACCTGTTCCATTCCAACTTGCGCGATCGGTAAATGCCTTCCGGGAATGTGCTATAATCGTACCAGTTAAGGGGCCGAAGAAACCAATTATGAATCCTAAAAGTCCGGACTTAGAGTTGGCCTCATGAATTCAATAGGAATACGGATTCTCTACGAATTTTGAATCCATTTTTGAACCCAGAACTAAGCAGCCTCAGCCACTCCGAATTTCTTATTTGGTAGCCTCGGGACCCTCCCTGGTTTTTCTAACAGCACAGCCTTGTAGCGAGTCTTGGATCATTCCTCGTCTCCTCATGATTCTATCACATGAGGTGTACGACTGGTCTCCAGAGGATTATTGGCTCAATTTCCGTGGAAAAGTAGAGTAAAGTCAACTCAATCTACCTGTTTAACTTTTTGCCCAGTCTCTATCATCCACATAGTGATAACAGACCCAGTACAAGCACTGACAACCTAAGGAAAAAACCAATAAAAGAGGATTTATGTCTGTTCAGATTAACACTCAGGTCTTAATATTTCATCAATGCAGTGCAAGTGTTGCCTCGTGCTCAGACCCGTTCTAACGGATTCCTAATCGAGAGAGACTGGAGCGATTTTGGTTCTGTGAAAGGGATCATGGGAAAGGCAGAGAGAAAAACGCCCACCCTTGCCACCGACCTTTACGGAAACGCTTAACGTTCCCATGGTCCATTGCGCGATACACCTTAATTGCTCGCAGTCGCGATTGCTTCCAAACACTTGAGACACCAAGGAAAAAGGAAGGTGCAACTGAGAAAATGTGGTGTCATGGTGACAACCCTTCCCCTCAGTAATGTTGCCTCGGTTCAAATCCAGGAATTCATAGGTTCGAATCCTGACTTAGATGTTTTTCTTTGTCCGACGTTCGTGACATGCTGATTATTTCATCTTTACAAAAGAGAGAGAGAGTTGGTACCTGATTAAATTTACTGTTGTAAATAGCCGCTGTCACAGGATGTTCGTGGCTCATTATCCTATCCTTTACTTCAGGCTTCATCACCATCAATGTCAGCTACAAACAAAGTGCCAACATACAGATATTCAATAGATTTCACATTGCAGCTTACTGATTGGCGAGTAATATCTTGTGCCTCCTCCTTAGCCAATAAGATGAAAGCGCGGGAAAACTTGTTCACCCGCGTTTGACGGTGCTTAACGCTACAGAGTTACTTGTTCTTAATAGAATTGGACTAAGCCAGTGTTACTTCCTACAAATTCAAAGAGAAGAATGCTTGCAGCGCGCAGCACTAAACTCAGATAAATGGTTTCGAAAAGGCAAACGAGCCAACATGAGCTTAATGTATTGTATTGCGCCCAGCTCCTGGCCCAGATAATGAATGAGTCAGCGGTTTAATACATTTCAGGTCTAATATTTCCTTCATACATTTTCTTTTGTACATATTAATTCACATTAATGGTACATACATCATTTCTAAAATCTTACTATTTTTCTAACACGGCGATCTTCTTGTCATCGAGAAATGGGTGTTTCCACTTCGAACCCAATAAAGGAGTATTTAATTGAAAGAGGAGATTAATACTTTACACCTGGGAAACGCTACACGGCCTGCCGCCGCCATATTTGAAGACGAGCAGACCCTAGGGTCGAGTTTACGGGACGGTTGGTGGTAAGGGGCCAAGGATCCTAGGTCCCTAACCTCCAACCGTCCCGTAAACTCGACCCTTGGATCTGTTCGGAATGCCTTTTCCACTCATCACAACAACTCGGAAAAGAGTTCGCCATTCAAAGCAGGAGCGGACCTAAGGGGGAGGGTGCAGGGGTGCGCACCGCGCCCCCGAGATGACCTCCGGTTTTCTAATACAACTGGTATTCTGCCAAAAAAAACTATGTGGTTTATTGGTGTTGAAGTAGAGCAAGAAACGAGTGCACCCCCTCCTAAAAAGAATCCTGGATCCGCCCCTGCAAAGAAATGTTCCCGACCAACTGAGAGCCTTGAACGGGCCAGTTCTTTTATTACCTGATGGTTAAAAGCTGTAAACAGTTTGCAGTGCTCCTCGTCGTAGTACATGGTGATCGACACTATGATAACAAAAAAATACAATTTAATTCAGCTTTTAAACGCCCAGAAATATTTGTTTTTCAGCTTATACCCCATGTAACTGAGCAGGATATTTTCCTAACAACAGAGTCAATGTATACGACCATCACGCCTTTTCTTCTTTAGGGGCTCTTTAAATTTATCTTCTTTGCTTAACAACAATAAGTAAATAATAAAACAAATAAACTGGGATAAAGAAAAGCTGAAACCTTCAGCAGGTCCTTTAGGGAACATCCCCGACAATCGCTGAAGACAAACTTGAAGGTGTGTGTCCCAGATACGTAAAACCTGCAACACAAAATAGTCACTTAGTTTAGCGTTTGAAACCTAAAGGGTCGGTTATGTTTACGATAAATGGTGTTTAGATTTAAGGGCTGGGCAACCTGAAAATGCCTTAGATCACAGTTTTGTTAAACACGGGCTAAACTTCGTTGAAATAACTGGCCCAAAATGTCCTAAATTGTCAGAACTCCCACACAACTTCAAATTGAGTAGTTCCACGTACCTTATCTTTGGATAAACTAATAAGCTGGCTTCTGGATTCTATAAAACGCACGGAAATAACGCTTTGCATATGTCCTCGCAGAACCTTCAAGAACACAATAAGCGAGGTAAATCAACTTAAGCAATGATGAAAATAAAATATTTTACATGAATACCGTAAATCCTCTAGTTAGCCCCCCTCAAATAAGCCCCCTCCCTCTAATAAGTAGGCTCCATTTCCCCGCCGCTCTCTCTGTCCTCCCTGAGAAGAAACTGTCTGTTCGGGGGAGGAGCGCGGGCTCATTTCTTGGACAGCGGCTAGTAATCGAGCCTATCTAATAAGCTCTACCCCCTTTTCAGAAGAAGAAAATTAATCAGCCCCCCCTTCCCCTCCCCTAATTACTCGTGTAGACTGGTCCGAAACGGTTTAAATACCAACTGGAAGTTCGGATTTGATTCTGATCCTCGGCTGCATGACCTTCAACCTTCTTGTATCTGAGCTTTACCACGTTGTATTCTAGTTTTTTACGGAGAATTGATATCATCGTCGTTTCTAAATTAAATAAGCCCCCCCCCTCCTCTGAAATAAGCCCCCGTCTCTATTAAGCCCCCCCCCCTCCCCTTCAAATGGGCTTGAAATAAATAAGCCCCCCCGGGGGCTTAATAGAGGATTTACGGTAATTCCCTGCTAGCACAGGTCTCTCACGGCCGAGAAAAAAATGAGACGAAGACTCTCTCCTTCTTCTCTCGCCATGAGATACTTCAACTAACAGAAAAATTAATAAATACATATAATTTAGATCTATTTATAGGTCAGAAAACACCTTTTTGCCATTAGTGATAACTATTTCAAACTCAATATATGGAAAATATAATTGTTTAGCAAGTGCAAAACCCTCAAATC